ACTTGATTTGAATCAACTCAATTAACTCAACAGAACTCTCCGCTCGCCGATGTTCAACTCACCCCAACTGAGTCCGCCACAACCTAGCTCAACCCAGCTGGCGGCGCACGCACCTCGAGTCCACAGAACTCGGCCCAGTTTGAAGCCCTCCGCGACTTGATTTAACTCTACTCAGCTCAACTCGCCTCGCCTCGCCTCAGCTCGGCTTACCTCAATTTACCTCAGTTCAATTCTCCTCAGCTCAACTCACCTGGATGCCACCCACTTCAGTTCAGCTCAAGTCAATCCCGCTGAGGCGAACGCTTGACTCAGCTCAACTCCACCTCGACTCCTCGACTCACCTCATCTAAACCCGACTAACTTCAACTTCGCTCCTCTTGACGCAGCCCAGCCGCCTCGACTCACCGTGTTCGCAGTCTGGCCGGGGACCCTGGCGTGTCCTTTCCACGCTGCCGTAACGGGCGAGGCACGGGGTGCCGAGGGACAGCCCGGGCAGCCCTGAGGAGTCCAGACGACTGCACGGAGGCAGCGAAGCCCAGGCACCACAGTGGGAGGAAGGGCATCTGGGCAAAGGAACAGCATGTGCAAAGGGGCAGAGGCAGGAGAGCAGAGTGGTGCAAAGGCAGCTGGGAATCATGTTCGGTCCCCGTGGGAGGACTCTGGCCTGGGGACAGTGGGAGCCACTGCGGTGTTTGAGCAGAGGAGAAATGGGTGTTTTAACACCCAAATGGGTGTTTTAAATCCCATTAAAACACCCATGGCTGCGGGGGTCAGACGGAACTGGGAGGCCGGGCCGGGCTTGCTGGGTAGTGACTGGGATGAGAACTCCAGCACCGGGTGGGGTGGGGGGGGGCAGACAGACGGGGAGCTTAAAGCATTTAGGAAATCGTAAAAACATGACCAGAAATTGAGCGTTTCTTCTAGACCAGGCTTTGTTTACTTGCTGTACGTGTATTAACTAATTTAATCCTCCCAAAGCCTCAGCAGGTAGGTGTTGTTATTGACCCTCTTTTATAGATGAGGAGGCTGAGGCCCAGATGGCTGCCCAAGGCACACAGCTCCTGAGGGGCCGAGCTGGGGCCTGCGCTCGGGCACTGATGCTGCCGGGCCCAGGAGCAGCCGGGCTCCTTTTCCAAGCTCCATGGCAGTGCCACCCTCGCCCCTCAACCCCAAACACACAGCGGGAGCTCAGGAAATTCTTTCTCGGAGTTTGTGTGGATTTAAATCACCACTACCACTTGAGCTGGGAATGCCTGTCCCTGTTCAAAGGAAGACTCTGCTATCATTGTCATTGCACAGGAGAGGAAACTGAGGCCCAAGGTCACACTGCAGTGAGTGCAGGATGTGAACCTCAGGTGGGAACATGCTCCGTCTACGAACAGAACGTGGGGTGGCCGTCACTGGGATCTTCAGCCCCTGGGGTTTTAATTCTGTGTGTGTCCACTGGGCAGGCCCTGCACGGAGGGTCCCACTGGTCCTTCGGTGCTCAAAATTCCCCCGTGGCTGATTTCTGTGCCGAGGATGTGGTCTGGGCTGCTGCAGGACCGCCTCCCTGCCCTGCCTGCCTGCCGTGACTCTTCCCTTCCTGCCCTCCACGCCAGCTTCCTCCCACATACCCGCCCCTCCGCCCCAGGGCCTTTGCACGTGCTGTTCCCTCTGCCTGGAACACTCTTCTCCTGGGCAGTTCCATCTCAGCTGTCGGACCTCACCTTTAATGTCACGTCACTCCCTCAGAGTGGCCTTCCCTAAGCACCTGAGCTAAAGTCAAGTCCCCCACTCCTTCCCTATCACATCACTTAGTTTTTTAATAAAACAAAATCCCTGGCTGGGTTTTCCCTGTTGGTTTATTATCTGCCTCCCGCCGGGGCCTGAGCTGCTGGCGGCAGGAGTCCTGTCTGTCTGGTCTCCCACTGCTCGGCACACAGTAGGTGCTCACTAAGTATTTGTGGAATGAACGAGTACACGCAAGAAGGGATGGAAACAGTTTGGCACGGCAGGCCCAGGCCGGGGTCCGAGGCCGCCGCTCCCGTCTCCCGGCTGGGGCTGGGGCAGCGGGCGGGGCTGGGCGAGGCCGCCTCCTTCCTTGCTGTTTTCATCCTCTCAGTAATTATGGGCTCAGACACTCCTCGATGCCTTCCCAGAATAATAGCTGGGCCTGTTATCAGCGGCATCTCTGGGACCTTCTCACAAACAGTCATTAATCAAGTCTGCAGCCACCCTGCCCTCCTGCCTGGTGGAAACCGAGGCACAGAGGGGTGAGGCTGTTTTCCCAGCGCCACACAGCCGATGCCGGGAGGCTGGGCCCGAGCCCCGTGGGGTGGCACGGGTGCCCCTGTCCCTGCTCCGTACCGGGGGAGCCTCTGAGCCCACCCTGACTGGGGGCCCTGCCCCCAATTTCGGGCCCCCAGCCCTCCTTGAAGCCCCAGGGGCCTCCCAAGGTGGCCTCTTAATCATCGCAGGTTAATTAAGGAGGTTAAACAGCTCCGCGGGGCCGGCCGTGCAGGCTGCGGGGCTGAGAGGTGGCGGCCCGGCCCGCGTCTCCACGCGAGGCCTCTGCTCCCGCCCGGGCCCGGCTCGGGCACTGTGTCTCCCTGGTGCCCACCTCAGGACCCGGGGGCTCTGGGGGGGCACAGGGCCCCAGACAGAGTCTCGGAGCCCCGCCGTTGGTGGGGCCCCCTCCCCTTCTCCGGGGGTGTGTGGGAGGCGCTGGCATCGCTTAATGAGGCCTCCGCGGCTGCCAAGCAGAGCTGGAGGAGTTGAAACAGGTTCTGGGTGAGGTGAGTTTCGTGGGCCGGGCAGAATCCGTGGCTGCGTGCCATGTGGGTGCTCCCTGGGGCGGCGGGGGGCGGGCGTGGACCCCCACCCGGCCCCTGCGTGCAGCCCTCTGGGGTGGGAGCAAAGGGAGCTCGGGAGGGGACAGCAGAGGGGACGGAGGACGTTGGTCAGGAGTGGAGGCCCGCATCCCACCTTCCGCGCCCCGCCACAGCCTGTGGGAGTCCCAGCAAGCACGGCCACAGCGCAGGGGCTGGGGTTCCCGAGACACTGCAGATCTGTGCTCCGGCCTGAGAAGTCGGGTGGTTGTACGGGACGATCTCAGGCTCAAAGCTTTAGTTTCAGGGTGACCCACCCCAGACAGAGGTGCGCACTTGCTGTGTGACCTTGGGCAAATTGCTTCCCTCCTCTGGGCCCCTGTAGCTCTCTTGCTGTGATCAGCGAGGGGCCCTGGGACCCACTTTCTTCAGGGTACAAGGAAGTCATTCAGCGCGGCTCTCCTGGCCCTGGGGAAACTTGGCGGCTCCGGACGCTGGCCAGGGAGGCTCAGGGGCAAGCTCCCCACGCCGGGCTGTGCTCCCAGCCCCTCTGTGCTGCTGAGTCCCGAGGCCACTGAGGGACGGGCTCAGGCGGGGCTGGCTCAAGGCGGGACCCCTCTGTGTTCCCTGAGCCCGAGTGCACGTGGGCCCAGCTTCTTGTCTCTCCTAGCTTTTTTTTTTTAGAGTCACTTTAAGGATGTATAATTTACATACAGTAAAATTCACCCTTTTCGGGTGTGCAGTTCTATGAATTCTTGCAAACACCACCGTTGTGTAGCCACCACTGTGACCGGGATACAGAGCACTCCGTCACTCCAGAAAGAGCCCTGGTGTCCCTTGGTCATCAGGCCCCTTCCCTACTCCCAGTCCCTGACAACCGCCAATCTCCACCAGCCTTTTATTTTGAAAAATTTCAAACTTATATAAAAGTGCATAAACCGCACAGCGAAGCACTGTAGCGTCCCTTCACCCAGATTCCCCGCCTGTCAACACCGGCCCCTTGTGCATTCTCTCTCTCTCTGTCTCTGCGTGATTTCTGCCCAACTGCCTGAGAGTGAGTTGCAAACACCCTTACCCTTCACCCCAAATACTCGAGCAGGCACCTCTGAGGAGCAACCCGGGCATTCATTCTCCGACACAGCCACCATGCGTTGTCACACCTGGGACATTCAGCGGGGATTCCACATGTGACCTAGTGTCCAGTCCATGTTCAAATCACTATGATTGCTCCAAAGGGTTCTTTATGACATTTTTTACGTTTTTGTTTTGTTTTATTTTATTCTTCATTTTTCTGGTCCAGACTCCAATTGAGGATCAGGCCCTGCATTTGGGGGCAAGTCTGTCTGGTGTCCTTGGGAACATTCTCTCCCTGCCCTTGCTTGACGACAGAACACTTTTCCAAAACCACCCTCACGGTTCCCTGTACCAGGAGCTGCAAGGAGAAGCCCCATGGGGGCATGAGCCAGGGAAGGGGGCCCCTGACTTGGGGGGTGTGGGGGTGTCCTGAGGGTTTTTCCTTAAAAGCATTGTTTAAAACAAAAGAGGGAGGGGAGGGAGACTTGGGTTCCTTGTCTCACTTTCAATAATGCTGGAAATTTCAAAGCCGGGAGTAGAAATCACCCAATTTGCAGCTGAGAGGATCTCTGGCCCCATGGTTGGGGTTTAAATCCCAGCTCGGCCAGCCCTTGGCTGTGAGTTCTTGGGCAGGTGATTTTACCTCTAGGGCCTCAGTTTCCCCATCTGTGACATGAGGATAATGCTAGTCTCTCCACCTCGCCCCACTCTTGTGAGGATTAAATGATTTAATGCATATATAGTGCCTCAACAGTAGCAACTCTGCTTGTTAACAATTTCCTGAGAGTGTTTCCAGACAGTTCTCTAGACTGACACACATGGATATATGTGGATAGCATGTTATATAAATTGGGTTACCTCCTGGGCCTGCAATAATGGGCATTTCCCCATGTCCAGAAATAGAGCCTCGTTCATCACACAAATGTTTTAACTTCTGTTAATTTTTGTCCACGGGCAATACATGCGTGCGGTTCCAATAGGGAAGGGGCGGCAGTCAGAGCCAGCCCCGCCCGCTCGGGGCGCACTCTCGGCTCCGCACGCTGTCCCCGTGCGGGCTGTCCGGAAGGGCGCTGCGAGCGCCAGCGAACACGCGCGCTTTCTGTTTTCCTACAGACACGAGAGGACTGCGCGCGCTCTCCGCGCCGCGCCGTCTCCACTGAGCTGCGGATCCCGGGCGGCATTGCACAGCGGGCCAGAGCCCTCCTCCCCGCCAAGGCTGCGCGGCGCCCTGGCGTGGAAGTGGGCCGCGAGTGCGCGCCTGCTCCTCGCCCACGGACGCTTGGGTGGCTCGCTGCAAACTGCGGCGGAGAGCCCTGGGCAAACGGCTTTGTGTCCGCGCGCAGGCATATCCACGGGCTGCATTCCCGGGAGTGGACTTGCTGGGGCAGAAGGCATGTATGTTTTGAATGTTGCTCCGTGATCATTTCATTTATTTATTAATTTAATTTATTATTATTATTTTTTCTCTCTCAGACATCCAGGAAGTTGGCCCCTCTGCCGTCATTTTGAATGGCTACATGAATCCTGGTGCATTTAACAAACGGCGCCCCGTGGGTAGGTGTTTGAGCGGCTCCCATTCGTCTCCCTGTAAACAACGCCGCAATGAACATCTTTGTGCCGCCGTCTGGGTGCGGGACGGTGGGCTGGCGGGGAATTCCCAGGGTGAGCAGGAGCCGCTGAGATGGGAAAACTGAACCAAAGGGGCCAGCGTGTTCCCCGGGCCTGCGGTCCCCCACCTGGACGGTGGCTGGAGTGGCTGCGCGCCCCCAGCCCTCCCTGCCCCCGACAGACTCCTCTCGACCCTCGTGGGTGCGGGAAAGAAGTCACTGCGTCTCTAATAGGCTCCCAAGTGGTCGGCCCCACGGTGTGGCCCCACTTGGGGGCCTATTAGAACGCCGTGACGCCTTCCCCGCCCCCCACCACAGCCCCGGTAGGTTTGAACAAGTCCCCGGGGGGCTGGCCAGCACAGCCAAATCTAAGAGCTGCCCTAGAACAAACCCGGACCCCCTGAGACTGGAGCTCGTGGTTCAACCTTGGGGCTGGAGCCGGCCTGAGGCCAAGCCTGGCTTCACCACCCGCCGCTGTGTGGCTGAGGGCGAGCCCGGCAACCTCTCTGTGCCTTGGTGTCCTCGTCCGTAAAACAGGGACGAGAGGCGGGCTCGCCTCGGCGGGTAGTTGAGAGCACGAAGCCTGCTCGTCCCGTGGAGGTGGGACTGTGGGCTGTGCTCGGTGAAGGCTGTTACTGGGACGCGTGTTATGTCAGGAGTCCCGGGGGGGAGGGGCGCTCTGCCTGCCTTCTGGCCCCTGCTCTGTCTCTCATCGTCACCCCCCGAGTCTCTCCAGCCCCATCTGTCTCTCCATCTCCACCTGTCTCTGTTCTGTCTCAGCGTCTCTCCCGCTGTCTTGGTCTCTTTCTTCCTCTAAGCGTCTGTCTCTGTTTTTGTCTTTAAGTCTCTGCCTGGCTGGAGCCTTATAAGTGTCTGTGAAAATACCTGGAAAACTGGAGCTAAGTACCAAGACAAAACTGCACACTGAGGTTTAACAATACCGTAACAGCCGAATTATACAAACTCAACAACATTAAAAACAAGAAGTTCATGTTTTCAGTGGGAAGTGGGGCCCTTTGCACCTGTTTGTTGGGTGCGGTGGTGCCCGTGAGGCTGGTGGTCCTGCCCGGTGGCCTCTTTCCTGTTTCCTTGGCCCCAGGGCAGCCCTGGGCCTGGACAGGGCTGAGTGACTGCGAGCACAAAGATCTGGCCCCGGAAAGTCCCCGAGTCCGTCCCATCCTCGCTGCGTGGCCCTAGCAGGCACAGGCGGAGACCTGTGTTCGTCCAGCCCATTTACCGAGCACCTGCTGCACCCGGCGCTGGGACCAGACGGGCAACAGCCCTGCCTTGCGGTGCTTGCATTGTCGGGGAGTGTGTGCACGGCACAGGTAACCCAGAAGTGAGCAAGTGAAGTTGCAGAGCAGTTTTAGATGGGGCTGAGTTATGTGACTGGAATAAAACATGGTTCTGTGACGGAGCAACACAGATACGGGTGTCGGGGACGAGTACTGACTAGAATTTCGAGACCGGAACCCTAAGACAGAGCTGGGCCCGGGAATACCTGGGAGAAGGGCGCTCCAGGCAGAGGGAACAGCAGGTGCAAAGGCCTCGAGGCAGGACCGGGCTTGGGGGCCAGTCACGATGGGGAGCTTTGGGAGGAGGAGAAGATCTTGGGAGAACCAGTCTTTGTTGAGTGTCCCAAGCAAGATCCTTGCCCTCTCTGAGCCTTAGTGTCACTCATACAAAATGGGAACGCTCTGCCTCTGTCACCGTCATTCCCTGTGTCTCTCTTGCCCCCTCTGTCCCTCCAGGAGGAGTGAGTGTTAGATCCAGTGGCGGGATCCACATTGGAGGGATTGGGGCGTGGGTGGATTTGTCTTGAAACTGTAGGCACGGCAGCACCCCTTTTTATACCTGGATTATTTGGGTGGCTTTGGGGGGTGATGGTGGGGGTTGCGTGTGGCCGAAAGCAGCGCCCCGGTTTCCCCCGGCCAAGCCCCTGACTTCAGGAGTTACCAGCTCACACGCTCCTGACCTGGAGCGAGCAGACAGGCACGGGGAGGACTCCAGGTGGGAGGAAAGGCGTGGAGCGGGAATGCCCAAGGTGTGTTGGGAAGAGTGCGGAGACCAGCCCGGCCTGTGGGGAGGGTGAGGGAAGAGGCTGGAAAGACAGGTTGAGGCCGGGAAGGGAGCTGAGCGCACGCCTCGGGAGGGTGGGTGGCTGGCAGGCGGAGCCGTGCAGGCGCCCCGTGTTTCTGGCTTGGTTTTCAGCGTTTCATATGTCGTGGACGTTCAGAGGAGTTTAAAGGACCACAAATAAGCCGCCACGCAGCCCTCACTCAGCTCAAGAAAGACAGCACCCCCGTCCCATATGCCTCTGCGCGACTGCATCTCTCTCAGAAGTCACCGTGACCTTGCTGGTGTTTGTGAGTCCCAAGCCAGTCTTTCCCCTCCCGTTATTTGTTCGCTGGAGGCGTAAAGCACACATGGCGAGACGCGCAAACCCCAATCGCACAGTTTGGCCACCGACTGGCGCCAGCTCGAGACACAGGACAGTCCTGGCCGCCGGGGCTCCCTCGGAGGTGACTACGGTTCCCACTGCTGTCACCCTAGCCGGCTTTTATTTTTTAATTTTTATTTATTTATTTATTTTTGAGACAGAGTCTCACTCTGTTGCCCAGGCTAGAATGAGTGCCGTGGCGTCAGCCTAGCTCACAGCAACCTCAAACTCCTGGGCTCAAGCAATCCTCCTGCCTCAGCCTCCCGAGTAGCTGGGACTACAGGCATGCGCCACCATGCCCGGCTAGTTTTTTCTATATATATTAGTTGGCCAATTAATTTCTTTGTATTTTTAGTAGAGATGGTGTCTCACTCTTGCTCAGGCTGGTCTCGAACTCCTGACCTTGAGTGATCCTCCTGCCTCGGCCTCCCAGAGTGCTAGGATTATAGGCGTGAGCCACCACGTCGGGCCCATTTGACTGGTTTTGCTTATTCTTGAACTTCATATAAATAAAATCATCCAGGCCGTGTTCTTTTGTATCCAGTGCGTTCTCTTAACGGCATCCTGTGGGATCTCTCCGTGTTTTGTGTTTCTTTTCATGGCTGCGAAGTATTCCACTGTTTGAACAGATCACATCTATGGAGATGTGGGTTATGTCCGATTTCCACTATTTTAAATGGTGCTATGAATATTCTTGAACATATCGTTTTGTTTTTATTTGAACCTATCTTTCTGTAGACATAAGCCGTTTCTTGCAGTCTACATCCAGGAGTGGAAGCTGGTGGTAGGGCGTGCACCTGTTTAGTGTTTGAAGCTCTGGACACTTTCCAAAGTGGCTATACCATGTCTTCATACTTTTACACACGTGCGTGCGCGTGCACACACACACACACACACACACACACACACACACACACACACGGCATCCCTGTGGGATTTGGGATGCTGCTTTGGTGGTGGGTGGGAGTGTACAGATGGTGGCACTTGTACATTTGCTTCTGTCACTTGCTTTCCCCCGCTCGATGTTCTGTTCTGGAGATCGGCCGGTCGTTGGAGGGGCTCTGGCGCGTCTACCCGTTCTCGCCGTGCGCTCGGCCGTGGGAACAGGCCACGGTACTCTTCTCCACGCTCCTGCACGTGCTCATGTAGCCTATTCCCCCTGGGACCGTCTTCCTGGCTTTTCACGAGCGAGTGTCTGTTATGTGCTGGGTGGGGCTGGCCAGGACAGCGGGGAGGTGGGAGGTGGGGTGGGCTGGTGGCGCGGGTGGGTGGATTCCAGACACACTGAGGGAACTTGGTCGTGGTAGGGAGGAAGGAAACAGGATTGGGACTCTGGGGGCCAGAAGCCCAGGTTTAAATCCCTGCTCCCACCTCCTGGCCGCGCAACCTTGGGCATGTGACCCTGCTGCTCAGAGCCTCAGTTTCCTCATCTGTAATGTGGGGACATTAACCCTGCCTGGCAAGGTGGCTGTGAGGGTGGAGTGAGCAGAGACATTCAGGGGACTTGGACAGGGTTCGAATCCATGAAGGAACTAGTTGATTTTGGGTAGGTTGCCTCACCCAAGCCTCAGTTTCTCTTATCTGTAAATGCAGATAATGACAGGACCTGCCTCCCGGCGATGTGTGATGGTGACATGAGGTTCTGCACATAAAGCACTTGCTAAAGGCTCAGTAACTGGCCGCCCCTTGCTGTTATTACTGTTGTTGTTGACTTCTGCACCTTCCCTGCCAGAAGGTGGGGGCAGGAGGGCAGGGGTCGGTCTCTGCCCCATCTCCCTCCCGCGGCTCCCATACAGGATGGAGTGGGGCCGTCAGAAATCTCTGGAGTCTCACTGCACAGGACACGGCTGCATCCTGGAGGGTGACCTTGGGTGAGCCCCGCCCACCCTGGGAGCCTCAGTTTTCTCCTGTATCGTGGAGCCTACCTGGCCAGGTGGCTTCCCGAGGGGCACGTGATCCTGCTGGGGGACAGAGCTCTAGAGCCATCAGGAGGGGCTTTGGAGGGGGGGACATTTTCCTAGCAGTGTTGTGGCTGATGCAATCTGGGGGGGGTCCTCCCAGAGATGGGGGGCTTTGGGCTGAGTCCCTGAGGAAGGGGACATGGTGAGGTGACATAAGGAAGAAGGGGGATTCTGGCTCTGCTGGCCTCCTGAGGGCAAGTGTCACCTGCAGGGATGCCCAAGCCCCTTGCTTTAGGGTGGGGACACTCAGGCCACAGAGAGAGGGAGGCTGATGTCCCGATTCCCACATTGCTTCTGATGCCCCTGTGCTGTGTGCCCCTGGGTACCCGTTGCACCTTCTCTGTGCCTTGGCCTTCATGGTGAGAGTCTCCGGGAGGCCTTGCTCCCTCTTCTGCGGGATTGCCCGGCCCCCGCGGACCCCCTGGCCTGGCCCCCTGCCCTCAGGGCCAGGGCCGCGCACCTTGACAACCCGCCCACGCCGGCACAAAGGCCCATTGTCTGGGCCCACGTTGGCGGGGAAGCGGGCGGGAGCAGCCGCCTCTCGCCCAACCCGCTTGTGGTCGGTGGGGACTGAGAAGCCATTCACGGAGGCCCCCGCCCCTGTCCGGGCACCCGGCCAGGCCGCCTCCGGGGCAGGCACCCTCGCCGAGCCGGGCCAGCTCCTATCCTGAGCTGGGCCTCAGTTTCCCCAGCTGGGAAAAGGAAAGAAGGGCAGCTCCACCGGGGAGGACAGAGCCTGCCGCTCGGCCTGGCTGTGGCCTCTCCTGGCACAGAGAGGCTGCCCTGCTGTGCGGCCGCAGGACCTCCGGGGCCCGCCGGGCCTGGGCGTGAGCCCCGCCGGGCCATTCCGGGCGGAGCTGCTCCTCTCGCGAGGCTCGGCTTCCCCATGCGTGACAGCAGACCCCCGTCCACGGCCCTCGGGTGAGGAGAGAAGCGACACCACGGCAGCACTCATCTGATCTCTCACTCGGTCACCAACACGTGCCGCCCGTGCGGCTGGCAGTGGAGTCGCCAGGCCGGGCGGGTTGAATGTGGGCTCCCTGTGTGTGACCAAGTCGAGTGTGGGCCCCTCTGAGCGAGGGGCCGGCGTGAAGACGAGAGTCGCACGCGTGGGGCCCAGCCTGCCTGCGTGTCAGCCACGTTCCGGGCATCGGGGACACGCCAGCGACACAGAGAGAAACTTCTGCCTGTGCGGGGCTGACGGACCGGCTCCCAGGCCCCTTCGGAGTCGCCCCGGCGGCCTGTTCCTCCGTGCCCGCTGGCCGGCCGTGGGGGCGAGCCGGGGCCCCCGGGCTTCCTTCTCCTCGAGCCTCTGATGCCAGCGAGCCCCTCTGGCCGGGCCCCCACAATAACAGCGGCTGACGTTTGCTGAGCACAGATGGCACCAGGGCTGCTCTGAGCCCGGGACTCTCGGCAGTGAGCGAGCCCACCAGGGTGCCTGGCGGCGCGGCTCTGCGAGGGCAGAGACGCTGGGGCTCTGCTCACTGCTCGCTCCCCCGGTCCGGACCAGGCTGTCTGGCCGGAGCCTTCATCTCCCTGCCCCCCTCTGCCAGGGGGACAGCAGCCACAAGGTGGCTTGTGCCGGCCACAGAGGCCCTGCTGGGGTTCGAGGCTGGGAAGGGCGTGGGTTTGCTGGTGGCCCGCCAGCTGCCACCTGGGCTGGCCCTGCTGCGTGGCCCTGAGTCACAGCCCTGTGTTCTGGGAAGCCGGCTGTGCTCGGGGCACCCGTGGGGCCCCATTCACAGCGGAGCACACCCTGCCTCCCTGCCCACCTCCTGCCTCAGCCCAGGGACAGGCGGGCCCTCTGAGTGGGTTCCCAGACCGGAACTCACTTCCCAGCCCACTGTCGGGGGCTGGGGAGGGCACCTGTGTGGTCCCAGAGACACATTTCTGCCTCCTCTCACTGAGCCCAAACCTGCCCTTCCCAGCTACCCGGACGCATTCGCTGGCAGGTAAGGTACTGAGCTCCCCGCCACTGGAACACTCCAAGCCTAGTCTGTCAGAGGTGCTGAGGGGCGTTCCTGCAGCAGGTGGGGCCTGGTGCTGGAGCATGTGACTTCCAAGACCCTAAACATCTTACTCAGGTTCTTGTGTCTGAACACTTGCTGTGAGCAAGTGCTACAGAATCCAAAAGGACACGGAGCGAAAAGCAATCCCGCCCTCCCCCGCCCCAGGCTCTGACTGCCCCCCCAGAGCGGCCAC